AGGCCCAGCAATTTCAATGTGCTCAGGTAAGTGGCAGGGAAGCTACTGTGGAGGACTGGGGTGGGGGTGGGGGGAGAAGAGACTCGATTCAACCTTCTGTTCCCTTTTAGATGAGTGGTTCTCAAAACCTAGTGTGCGTCAGAATCCCCTAGAGGTCTTGTTAAAGCACACTTCTGGGTGAGCAAGTCTAGGGCGGGGCTTGAGAGTTTGCATTTATAACAAATTCCCAGGTAATGATGGTATTGTTTGTCTGGGGGGCGGCACTTTGAGAACCACCGATCTGGAAGGAAGGCTTTGGTATCAGAGACGCCTGCGTTCGAGCCTGGCTCTGACTCTCGTGGGCCGTGTTACTGGGCGAGCCACTCCACCTTTCAGAGCTTCAGAACCTTCATTTGTACAATGGAGATAAACAGTACCAACCCATTGGGGTTGTGGTGGGGATTAAATGAGATAATACGTGGGGAGTATTGGGAATAGTCTCGGGGTCACTAAAACTCTCCACAAACGGTAGCTCTGACTATTCTGAATATTTGTAGTCGTTGCAAAAAGTTCCTCACAACACAAAAGGGAGCCAAACATGGGATTGAGAGGGGCAGACAGGTCTCTGATTTCTGACCTGAAAAGGGATGAGAGGCTCTGTCCTGGAGACCCAGAGACTTGAGAAAAGCCAGCGAATTCTCTACCCTCCATTTCTTCTTTCTGCAGAGTATCTGCAGGAGGTGCTACCAAGGCAACCTCATCTCCATACACAGCTACAACTTAGATTATCGCATCTTCTGCTCAGCCAGAGGACTCAACGAAAATGAGGTCTGGATTGGAGCCATCAACCGGGGCTGGGTAAGTGGGGCACCAACTTCGGGGGACAGGAACTTCTTTCTGATTGCCTCAAAGGAGCCTCTGCTGGCGTCTAGCCTCACCTCAGCAGCTGAGATGACCTTGAGGCAGCAGGCCGTGAAGTGAGAACCGATGATGGTGGGCATCTGGTCTCAGCTCCTTGCTCAGTGACTGTGTGCTTGTAGCCTGAAACGTGCCCCCAGTGGACATATATACACCAAAGAACTTGGCAGTTGTTGTAAATCGGGGTTCCTCCCTCCCTCTGTGTTCTCACCTTCCCCCAGAGCTGGCTGTTGAACATTTACCAGCGCATCACTGGAGTCAGGAGACAGGCTCCATGCTCTGCTTAGTCACTTACTAGCCGAATGACTTCCTCGGGGCCTCAGTTTCTTTATCTCTAGAATGGGGTCCTTCTTCTCTCAAGGCGGATCTGGGGTCGTGGATAAATGAGTACCATGATGCTCGCTGCTCAGGTGTGGTCCGTGGACCAGCAGGGGCAGCAAACCAGGTAGCTTGTTAAAAATGCCCAATCTTGGGCCCTACCCCATACCTCCTGGATCAGAATTGGCATTTTAACAAGATTCCCAGGAGATTCGTATGCACAGTAAGGCTTGACAAGCCTGCTCTGTGTGACAGTTGGGAGTCCTGGTTGCTCTTGCCTTGTCATGGCCTGCAAACCCTCAAGGATGGGTCTCTAGGGTATCTGGCTCCCCGCTGGGTGGGCAGTGAGAGGAGAAAGGAATACTCAGCATTTTCTGGAGCCCCTGGGTCTGTCTCTCTGGACATCTGTACTCTTACCCAGTCTATCACTTTAGTTCAAGAGCCAGAGCTTTCAATGGACCGATGGGAGCTGCTGGCATTTTGGATACTGGGCCTCAGGGCAGCCTTTCCAAGGGCAAGGCAACTGTGTGACCCTGTGCACCACAGGTGAGGGGGACCGGGGCCACGGGAAGGGGAAGGGGAGGGGGTGGGGGTGGAGAGGTAGACTCTTACACACTGTCCCTTTGAGTTACCCCAACACACCTCCCCAAACTCACACCTTCCCCCGGCTGGGGGGACATGTCCTCTGTGAGAAGGGCCGGAATGTAGGGATTCCTCAGAGCAAACCCAGGTGATGGGGAGCCCTGTCTGGGAGCTAGCTGGAGGCTTTCCACCTTCACTGACAGAGCTAGGCTCAGGGCCCAGGGACTGCTTTCCTTGCTCTGATAGGCGGAGTGACTAATGTGACAGATGAGAGTAGCAGATGTGAATGTAAGATACGGACGAGGGACCAAGAGAGATGTGGGAATGAGGGCTGGCTGACAGATAATTCGCCAGCTCGGAACAGCACGGATGCCAGATGTGAGGGAGCTGGCACCAGGGCTGAGACCGCATGTGCTGGAGTAAGACGGTAGCCATCCGCCTCCAGCTCTGAGACCCAGGCAGGTTATGACCCCCACTAAGCCTCAGCTTCCCGATCTGTGAAATGGGGGTGAGGGTAGCACCCACCTGCTGGCGTCACCGTGAAGATGAAACGGAATAAAGCCGTTAGCAGCACTCTCCCCGCCCCCTCCCCCCTCCCCCCGCCCCGGGGGAGA